TTTCATTATGGCCACCAAATTTCTTTTCACCACTTTAACTAATTTTGGAATGGGTAAAACTGTAAATTTGTATTATATATGAAAAATAAATTTAAAAAAACAATTTGTTTTTTATTTTAAAAAAAGTTTTTATTTTTTTAAGAAACATTTTTTTAAATAAATTTTTATTTTATTTTATTTTTCTAAGTAATTTTTTTAAAATAAGTTTTTATTTTATTTTAAAACGTTTTTAAAATTTTTTTATTTTATTTTAATTTCCTAAGTATTTTTTTAAATAAGTTTTATTTTATTTTATCTTTAAAATAATTTTTTAAATTTATTTTATCTATATAATGCAAAGTTATCGTTTTACCCCTTTTAAAATTAATGAAAATTGTGAAGTAAAGTTGGATGATCATGGTGAAATGCAATATGAAATTGAATGGCATGATGAAACGTTATATGAAATTTGATGGTCTTGATGAAATAAAATCAAATTGTGTGGTCATTGGTAGATTTAAACCATTAATAAATATTATATATAAAAAAATCTCGATCCACCCCAATCTGTATCCAGTCCTAGCAATAATCATCAGCATCCACCCATTGCCTCCCCTTTCACAGTCATCGACATCTACACACCCTCGACTTTTACCCGTCTGCATTCGCTCTTACAATCAGTGGCATCCATCGTCGCCATCTCCTCTCATAGACTCCAACATGTGAATTGTTACCTATGATGTTAATATTTTTAATTTGAGCTTCAATTAATGAATTTTTGGCAAAATAGTCGAACTTCAATGACGGATTTTTGGCTATGTGATTTCTGGGACATTTGGACATTGATCTATTATATGTCATGTTGATCCAATGGCATGTGACAAAATTCGGTTGGATGTATAACTTATAGACATTGATCTATGACCTATACAGTATAATATGTGATTAATGAAGTGTGACATGCGAACATAAATTAGTTATCTGTGACCATTTTAATTGATTTGTAAACATGTAGACTTTGATTATGACTAATTTTAATTAAATTGTGAACTGTAAACATTGATTTTGTGACCAATTTTAATTGTTATGTGACATGTATACATTGATCGTGACCCACGCACAGTGACCTGTGACCTATGATCAAATTATGAGCTACCACGACCTCACCTGCACGACAATATGCAAACCACTAACAACCATCTTCACCACCAATTGCAAAACTACCATTGCATCGCACCACCACCACCGCACAACGTGGAACAACCATCGCCACTACAACCACAAAAAAACCACAAAAATAGGAATACAAAACGTATCCCCCCAACATTGTCTGCTCAATTTTTGACAACCCATTTTAGATCACCGACTCAGATTGGTGAACCCAGTTCAAATCGTCGGTATGCACAGCAGTGTTTAAGGGAACTCTTAGCATTGCACACCGATAAACTGATCGTTGCTTTACGTAGCGCTATGCGTTGGTAGCGACTCGTACCATTGATGTGAGACGTCATTGCCACGTGCCATGGTCGTGCGCAAAAGTGCTGCTACGCCATGCGCGACAGTCATGTGTCGTTTTTGTGGACAGAGAAAATGTCGAAGGCGAGGAGAGAACGTGGAGAGAGAAGAGAGGCAGAGATGATTTTTAAGGTTTAGGATGATAATTGAATTATCACCTGATATTTGGGTTTTGCGAACCTTATGTCTTATTTTTGAATTATAATATTTAAAAGTAGGCTAGTGTGCAATTCCCACTTTTTTTTTTTTTAGTTTTTCAAAATTACATGTTAACATAAAACTCAACATTGGCATTGAGAGGGTGTTTCTGTGCAAAACACAGTCTAACAAAATTCATATGTAAAAAGATGCAATTTCTTACATTAAACTAGATTTCGATGCTTTTATTCCCCGTAGAACGATAAAAAACCACATTTATCAAATGATTAAAGGCATGGAAGACCCTTTTTTGGCCTAGGTAGATCAAATCAGTAGGATAGCCTTAATCTTCCCTTCGGAATTTTAAGAATAAAAAAACATTTAAAAATAAGTGTGGATGTAATGAAAGGTATATCAAATCAATAGGATAGTCTTATTCTTCTCTTTGGAATTTTAAGAATAAAAAAATATTTAAAAATAAGTGTAGATGTAATAATTTTTTTTAATGTATTATGTGAATATTCCCCCGTTTTATTGTTACAGTTTGGGGATAATTACATAAAATTAGCTATTTAGTTTTAAATTTCTGAAAATCAGGTTTTATCATTTTTAATTAATTATGATATTATAAAATTAAAATTAACATATATACACACCCTACTACATAGAACCGCCAAANTCGGCAATGTCGTGCGACGCTGTTGTGGTCGTCCGCCTCTTGGAGATCTATTCCAGATCCCAATTCGTGGAATTTTTACAGCGATTTTGTGGTGGCTGAGGTAGAGTGTGATGATGGTGTTTGTGCTTTATGTGTTTCGTATGTAAGTATTCAGTAGCTAATGGAAGTCGGGTTTATTGTTGTTTAGCTTGCGATTGGGATGTGTGGTTGTGGAGGTGGTGGATCTGTGGTGGTATGTGTTGGACGATGGTGATGGTTGTGTGGTGGTGGTTGTTTTTTGTTATTGTTGTGGCGGGGTCAGCGGTGGTGCTTTTTTTTTTGTGTGGTTTTTTTGGGGTCTGTGACCTAACTATTGAACTGCGGTGGTTTTTCTGGTGTCTGTGACCTTGGTTGTTTTTTCTGGTATCTGCAACCTTTTTGATGTCTGTGACCTAGCTATTAAATTGTGGTGGTTTTTTCTGGTATCTGTGACCTTGGTATTTTTTCTGGTGTCTCTGACCTTTCTGGTGTCTGTGACTTAGCTATTGAACTGTAGTGATTTTTTCTATTGAATTTGTAACTAAAAAAGAAATCCGTGACCCACAAATTTGGAAATTGTGACCTATAAAAAGCTTTTTGTGACCTTAAAATAATTCGTGATCAATGAATTTGATAAGTTGTGATCGAAATTAAATTTTCAACTATTTAATAAGATATCTGTGACCTTGGAATCAGAGCAGTTATCGGATTTAAGCGACGGCCAACGGTCACCGAAAAATGGTTGCTGAAATTAAGCGCCACGGGAGAACAGTTGCCTGAGTAGTCGCATGTCGTCGGAGTAGTCGCCAGAGCAGTGGAAGTGGTGGAGGTGGAGGTGGAGGTGGGTCAATTATATTATATTATTGTTAAATATTTAATTTAATAGATTAATTGTAAAATATAATTAATTCATTCATGGAAAACTTGAGTTTTGTAAATTTAAACTTTGGGATCTGATTTTTTATTTCGTGAAAGATAATCTCTAATCTATGAATTTTTCCCTGTAGTTTGTTCTATTTTGTTCACAGGCTAGCCGAAGTATGAGTTGGGCTGGCCTTCTGAGTATGGGTAGAATTTGGGTTCATGACTTGTCGTTCTGAATTTGGACCTCTACTAGTGTGCACCAACACGATAGCGGGTCTTGATAATGGCCCAATAGTTGAAGTAAGCATTATATGCAATGAGACACTCAAAATTCCTCGGACAAAAGAAGAATAAAAACAATAAAATTGGTCATAGTTTGAAGGACAGACCTGATGCTTGATAATTCATAAGTCGCCTCGCCACCAAACCCCTAATGCAGAAGGAGGTAGGTGAACTTGTCATTCTGCTCTTGGTAGGTGGATATAAAATCACCCAACTTTTGTATAATTTAATAAATATATTTTAGATTTTGTATAATTAAATAATATATTTAGCCCTTGACCATTGAAACAAAACTCTTTTTTTTTTTTTTTCAAGCTTATTTACAACTATACATTCTCACGGTAAAATATTCTGCACGTAAATTTAAAAATTTTCATACTTTTTAACTACGTATTCTTCAAAAAATCACTATTCCAAAACTCATTTTAATTGTTGCATGTTTAGATGTGTATAATTTAAAGGTCACAATTGTCAAAAAAATGTTTCGAACAACGATTTTTAGGAGAATGTGTGGTTAAGAGTAAGAAAAAATTTTAAATTTACGTATAATATATTGTATTGTGTGAATGTGTGATCGAAAATAAGTACGTAAAAAAAATTCAAATAATGATTATCAAACAGGGATTAAAAGGTACTCTTTTGAGTGCGCTCATACAAAGGTGCTGCTCAATTTTATTTTATTTTTAAATGGAGTCAAGCACGTTATAAGCATGTCAAAAATACATAATTCTGGGGTTGGTTTGTCTAAATTCGAAAAAAGAGAGGTCCATTTGTACAAGAACAAGTTGCCAAAGAAAGAAAAATTGTGTAATTATATTTTATACGCGTATTTTATGAATTTACCTTTTACATACTGTATTTTATAAAACAATTACGAAAATATCATTTTTAGAAAAATTTAAAAATATGTCATAATAAATAGCTAAACATATTAAAATATTTTTAATTTAAAAACAAATCACACCGCTTAAATATTATACATTATACAACGTTTTACATATTATTTTTTAATTATTGATTTTTTATCAGAATATTTTTTAACATTGTATAAACAAATAAAAATTCGAATAAAAATTAAAGATAATCAATTAAAATAAATCTTTACATTATTTATTATTTTATAGCTAATTTTTTTTTATTGATTTGCAACTTAAAAAAATATTAAGTTAAAGTAAAATAGTAATTAAATTTTTGGAGAAAAAAATGTTAAAAATTAATAAATAATGCTATTCGTACATAATGAAATTATATAATGATTTACATACAGATAATGTATTGAAAAGAGAGTGTGGGAGTTTTTTTTAAAATGTAGGGGGTAAAATATAAAGTTAAAAAATATAGTGTGTAAAATGTAAATACATCCTAAGCAGAGGGTGTAATTTTTACAATTTCCTAAAAATTAATTTCTATTAATTAATGTAGCAGTGAAGTTCGTTTTGAAGTTGGAATCCAAATTCCCACAACTCCTACTACATTATATGCAACTACCACAATCAAGCCGCCATTGATTCACAGAGAGACAAAGATGGAGAACTGGGGGAGTTTGAGCCACCTGTTCGTGACAGTGTTCCTCTCAAACGTGGCGTTGCTAATGGTGAATCCTGCCATTACTGATGTTACAATGGCTGCAGTGTGTCCTGGTAAAGACGAGTGTTCACTTGCGATTTACCTCACCGGCTTCCAGCAAGCGGTATATTTTCACTTCATTTCTATCTTCGTATTCAGATTTCATTAATTTAATGTACTTGCAATTGATTTTTGCTTCTCTTTCTGTAATTATTCTTACTTCCTTTATTTGGAAACTACTTGGTGGAATTATTAAATTCCGAATCAAAAGGTTTCGAAATCTCTCCGAGAAGAATGCTGAATTGTTTTGTAGTGTTATTATTGTTGACTAAACACGCCATTGCCAGCATAAGAATATAATTTGGTGTTTTCTGTATATATTATTTCACCATTTTCAACCAGAAATCACTGTCTCTTGCTGTTGTTGTTGTTGTTGCTGCTGCTGCTGCTGATGCGTGTGTGTCAAGGAATTATTTTCAAACTAGCTAGCAGATTATATGGCAATGTTTTATGCATTTCCGTGAATTGATTGTCATATTTTATGGAGCCCCTATTCGATGAATGGAATACTGTTTTTCTTTCCTCTTCTTCCCCAACCGAAAAAGGAATTTCAAACTGTTTGCTAGCATTTAAACTAAAACATTTAGGCAACATTTTAAGCTACGTCTCTAATTTTCCATGTGGAATGACTTGTTTTCTTTCTCTAAAGCCCCCCACCCCCACCCCCTTGCAAGTAGAATTTAGATTTTGGTTAACAGGTGGACTTGTAGATTAGGAGAACAATTATATAACCTCTGTGGGCTTAAGTACTCATTGAAGGGCCTGGAGCTACTCGATGGATTGATATTTTGATAAAGTCTCAAATAATTGAGTTGAATGATAGAAAGGAGAGAAGTGATAAATGGTTGGTTTCTCATAATGTATCTGATGTACGTTATAAGCAGTACAATTGGAGTATAAACTATCATGCAAATATATCGTGTGGATAAACTAGCAGCTGATCATCAATTTATACTAAAACTGAGTTACCACAGCTATGGGAAACTAATCCTGACCATTGACCAATTCCAGCCGATCCAGTGAGGTTGTTTTTAGTTCTGTTCATTTATTAGAAGAGCTTAAAGTCTGCTCTTCTCATTGAATACTTACTCACCAAAAAAATGAGCTATACAAAGTCTGTATTAATGCTTATTCACTACTTCAGAGTTTGAAGTTGTGAGTTCAAAATCTAGGTAAAACATTATTTTATTTTGTCAAGTATTGATGGAGGAGTGTTATCAGCGTTATTGTAAATTTATAAGAACATCATTTTAATATATGCAGATTGCAGGATTGGGGTCTGTAGTCATGATGCCACTAATTGGGAATCTGTCCGATGCTTATGGCAGGAAAACTTTGCTCACTGTCCCCCTTGTTCTTTCCATTATTCCACTAGGTATATAATACTATGTGGTTTTGCTTATCCAATGAGTGCTTCCATGGGAAAGTTCCAGCATTTGACCACCATTCTAAGGCGGAATTACATCGGCTGAGGAATAATGAGTTGTCATTGATGTCATAATTTAATGCAGACAGTGTACATTCAGTTCTAATTTTATATTATAGACGAATTATTGTTCTGAAAATTACACTTGGAAGACTACTAAATTTTATAATTAAACTATTATTCAAAGCATTTTTGTTGCTAACGAAGGAGCAGCAAAACGTGTAGATACATCATACCTTTGATTTGGTTTTACATATTTATAAACTTAGATGTCCACTCATGATTGTCTCTTCGTTGTATTGACATTGTGCAGTCAATTTATGGCTAGCCTGTGGGATAAATTTATCAGAAGTAATTTTGAATAAAAAATTCGGGTGACTTTAACATGTAGAACTTGTGTTCTTTTTTCTGTAAATTGAGTTAATTGTGTCATTATTGATGGAAATTAGTTACAGTTTAAGACTTCTGGTACTCTATTCATATTTGAAGTGTAAGTTTGACTGTAAATACATGTTAATGAGGTGAACCATCATGAACATTGGTTGTAAAGTATAATGAATATTTACTGGTTGAAGATTAGTTATCTAGCAGCTTCACTTTTATTTCCCATAGATGTGCACAGAAGTTAAACTTGCGAACCTGAATTGGTTATGGACTTCTGTCAAATTATTCTGTGTTATGGGAGAATGTAGACATCACTACTGGAACTTTTCTCAGTCTCGTTCTCATATTATTCTGGAACTTGTACTCTTAAGCAAATTAATTAAGAGTTATACCAGTTGGGAAATAGTAATGATGTTTCATTTATGAATTGTCTTGTTTATCACACTAATGACCACATATATGCAGTAATTCTGGCATGGAAGCGGACTACAACCTTTTTCTATGCATACTATGCGTTCAGGACTTTAACTGCCATGGTTACTCAAGGTGGTGTCATATGCATTGCCCTCGGCTATTTGGTAATTTGAAACCTCAATGCCCGAATCATTTTTTTATTTTTCAGATATAATATAATTAGTGCTCAATTTTAATGCCATTTGTAAAAAAAGCCTCCGAAATTATAATTAGAGAGGTGCATATGGAACTTGAGAGTACTATTTGTCATGTAGTAAGTTGCTTTATAATTAAATTTAAACATGTCAATTGAATATATTCTCAGGCAGATACTGTATCTGAGGCGAAGCGTGTCTCTGCATTTGGAGTCCTGTCTGGTGTAGTTTCCGCCGCATACGTTTGTGGTACCTTAGCTGCTCGGTTACTCTCCACCACACAGATATTTCAGGTTCCCATCAATTCACGTTCTTTATCGAACTGAGGAAATTTTCCATTTTTCACCTTGTATTTCCCTTCTACTTTTTGGCCAAAGATCACTCATAGTTTTGATGATAATAAGCTACTACTTCAACTCATCCAGGTCGCAGCAGTTATATCTATCATTGCAGCAGTGTACATGGGAGTCTTTCTTAAGGATACAACTCGCCACACTGATGCTTTGGAGCAGCCAATCTTGAAGCAGGGAATAGAAAACAGTCAAGCCTGTAGTGAATCATCAAAAAAAGTAAACTTCTTTAAGGGCATTCCATCGCCTAAGGATATAATTTGCTTGCTCAAGAGTAGGTAGGGTACCTACGTGTTCTTGGAACTTTTATTTTTATGTTATCATTATACCATTCTTTTTACAGCTCCTGGTGCCAAGAAATTCAGTTACAGATTTTTCTAAGGTTTTCTATAAACAAAATTCTGCCCAAGACTTTCTTTAGTACCATTTAACTTGATGCAGATGAAAATATTGCTCACTAATATCTACGATATAACGTGCTACCTAAGATATACTTCTGTCATCCTCCCATTCAATATGATAGGGAGCTTTAACTGAGAGTTGAATAAATGGGTATGTATGTAACTTTTCATCTTGCACCAGCAAAATTTATTGACAATAGTCACCTCATATACATTAAGGGTAGTTTTGATCATAGGAAAGAAAGTGTTATCTGTGACATCCCAAAAAGAAAATATGGTAATTACATAATGGACTGAAGAAGTAGCTGTTGCTATCAGGCTTACTTTCTGTTGCTATTATATTGGCAAAGTTACCTGGCAGATTTCTTGAAAGTTCTATTGGTTAGAAGATATTCTCATAAACTTCTTCACTCAATTACTTTCAAATCTAGGGCATGAAAAGCTCATAGCTTAGAGACCATATAAGTTATGATAACCATATAGAAAGCTTTTACAATTGACCTTTGTTTCGGGTGCTATATTACTATCAACTGCTGAAATTTATGAAGTGTAATATGAAGCCCTGTGCAAGTTCTATTCATCAGTACACTTACAAAATTCTGATCGTAACTGTGAATAATATTTTAAATTGTTTCTAGTAACTATTTCATAGTTAGACCAGAGTAGACATTATCTGGAATGGTTATACAAAGTTTTCTTCTTTATCGAAGTTCTTTATACCGTAGTACAATTTATAACATTTAAACTCAAGTCGTTTTCTTTAATATGAGAGACACAGAACTTTCATTTTATTTACTGGCAACTATTAATTTTCATCATGCTCACAAATATAGTAATATTTGAATGCACTTAAATTTTTTAACTTTTTGAGTAATTTTACAATTTGCTGGATGTTTTCAGATGATGGTCATTTTAACTTTTAATCCTCTTATCGCAGCATTACATTTTCACTAGCAGCATCTATAGCTTTCTTCAATAGCCTCGCTGAGGCTGGACTTGAAGCTTGCTTACAGGTCTTCACTTTTTTCTCTGTAAATGTGTTTTTGCTTATCGGACAAGATTCAGATATGCAAAATTATTCATCACCTTAAAAAAAAATTATTTTGTTTGTTGTGTGTGTGTGTAACGATAACTTTTGTCCACCAATACAGAAGACTATAAAAACAAGTGTCATCCAATACAAAGCTACGTATTGTTTAAGGGATTTGGCCATTGCATACTTGACAGTTATATGCAAAAAGAATATGATGGTCAGTGAAGAAGAACATGATTAATGTGTGAATGATAACTATTGTCTTAAAATTAGGAGAATGCCTGTTTGGGTGGTTTTTCCCGTCAACGGGTTGACAAACTTACATGGTAATCAAAAAATAATTAGATTACATCTAATATTGGAATTATACATGGAAAAGCAGGAAAAGAACGAGAATAGTGGAAATTAATTTTTTTTGCGTACATTAAGTCACTATGATTCTATCAAAGCGTTCATCAAATTGGTCCTTCTGGTTTGAGCCGTGAATTACGTACATGGTGAGCACACGATATTTCTAAATATGTAGTCAGCAATATTATGATAATGTTCCTTCTTTCTCTCTGCAGTATTTCTTAAAGGCCCGCTTCCACTTCATGAAAGATCAATTTGCAGATGTATTGCTCATTACCTACATTGGAGCAACCATATCAAATGTATCTTCAAATGTCTTTTTGCTGATATTTTTCATGATAACTGCCTATAAATTTGTATCCTTGTTTTACTCATTCTGGCCATCACTGTATCGATCTGGTTTCACACAATATCTATGAAAATTTATGAAATTGTGCAGGTGATCTTCATGCCTATATTTGGTCCAGTTATAGGAGAGGAAGTGTTGCTTTCTTTAGGACTCTTTGCTGGTTTTCTAAATGTACGTGACTTCAATCAAATTACTCTCTTTTTAAAATAAATTTCTGTAATATGGGAAGAGTTAATCTGTTTGTTACTCATCAATAACTGGTTGTCTGGTTATTTGCAGATGTTTTTTGACTGCATAGCATGGTCTGCTTGGGTAATCTCTGCAATGAAACCTTGAATAAATTTTTGTTCTTTATTAACATCATTCCCATAGCACTCCATTTGAGAAGCCAATGAGATTTCACATTTAGCTTAGTAGGCCAATTAGTTTCAAGAATTGGGCTATTCAAACATGAATATTCATGTGCCCTCGTGCATTTCTAATTCTTGCTTCTACCTTATGCACTTTGTACACTACAAAAAAGTCCCCGCGTGGCAAGGTTAGAAGAATCAATTCAAAATTTCAGTATGGCTCGTCAATACGCTCTGACACATTTTCTTCACCTTTTATCCATATCTTCACTTTAGTTTGTTCATCTATCCCCAAAGTGACATTAAACTATATATTTACCGTGTGAAAATCTCTTGAACATTTAAAGTCAAACGTATGAAATTGACTCGAACAAAGTTAGACTTCCTATGACCTCTAATCAAAACTAGAACCCAGTTTTCATGATTTAAGTTTCTATGGAAGTTATTTGTTCCAGCAACTACGTCTCTTGAGAGGAATGTTTGGAGACTATTTGCTCTATAAAATAGCCTCTAGCATGCCATAATTCGCTCATAATGGATACAAATATTGTGTTGCTTTGGTGATTTGTCATACAGAATGGATAATTTCTGTCATCATATTTGTGATCTGCAGGTACCTTATGCCTCTGCTTCATTCGGCGTTTTCCTTTTCCTGGCGACCCCCAATGTGAGTACACAGTTCATACTACGTTATTATCAGCCGTTTTGATTACTATGATTTCGGAAAGTGATGATTATTTTTTCTGTAATATACAGATAAGAAGCATCATATCAAAACAAGTTGGAGACAATGAACAGGTATAGGCTGATTTTAGTTGAGTTCCTTTAGCTATACATCGTAGTACTAAGTTGCAAGTTGTATCAATTGAAAGTTGAAATTTGTTATCTTATTTTCAATATTTCAAGTACTTCTTGAGTTTGTTTTAATCACGTTTTAAACATTAATTCTCCATTTTTCTTGTTATTTATCAGGGAGTTGCTCAAGGATGCATATTGGGCATATCATCATTTGCCAACGTCATCTCTCCATTAATTTTTAGTCCCCTTTCAGGTGATTCAAAATTTCTGTTCTCAAGCACCGATAAGATTGCTACTCTGTTCCAAACTTACACCTAACAATATGCTTCTCACAGCTTTGTTTTTGTCGGAGACTGCTCCTTTTCATTTCCCTGGCTTCAGTATCCTATGTGTTGGACTCTCTTGGGTAAGGACATTTACTTAACAGGCAAATCAACCTCGATAAATAATCTCTCAAAGACTATCCATGACGGGTTAAATTATTTTGTCCCGTTACAAATGTTAACCGAACTCCCAATGCTAAAATACATATTCCCATTTGCAGCTGATAGGTTTCTTTCTGAGCACAACAATGAAGTGTATTCCGAGAGAAGAAGTCAGTAACAGGGACAGCACCGAGGCCTAAATCATTGTCTGAAAGGGTTGACACACCAAGCCCTGCCTCTTTCACTGCAGGGTAGCCTTAGATGCATTCACAGCCAAGTAAAGTAGAATAAAGATCAAAAGAACAAGAATCATGTGTAATCATTTAGGCAGTAGGCACTAATTCCTCTCTTTTGGGAAATTGTATACGTCTAATATAGAATACACTGAAATTTCAGGTGGTGGAATGTAACTTCCATTGATGAGTCTTTGAGAATCTCAATATGTAATTTCTAAATGTTTCATGAATGCTATGTTCTTAAAACTTGCACCAGTGAACTTCTGATGATGTAAAATTTCTCTTTCGAATAGATGGAGATATTAGCTTTGTGTACAATTCTTTGTACTGTTGTGTAATTTTAAAGCTTCGTACTGTCATCTTTCTTCTGGCTTGGCGATCCACCAGAGGAATATATCACTTACCATAAAGAGTGAGAGTGGAGAATTTGAGCCATAAATCAAGCCAACCTTTGTCTTCGTTATTTGTCGAGATAGCCCCAACAACAACTACGATCATGTGTGGACAAATTGATCTTATACTGGTCCACTATAGTTTCCAAATTTCTATCAAGAAATTCTCTTCGAAGTTGTACTTTTTTCCAATCTCTGATATGCTCCTGAGATGGACAGCCAAAGTTGCCAAAGAACTTGGAATTTTCCACTGTGTTCATTGCCCAGGCGGGCATACAGCATTGCCCTTTACTTCTTGATTTCTCTGAACCCGTTCTTAGTGGAGGATGGATGGTGATAAGATTTCCAATCCTGACTTCCCTGAAGCTTCCACAAAATTTGTCAATCACGAATTCACATTGACCTAAAATACGTGGAAGCTGCAAGCATTTGGTTATTCTTCCGCCAGAGACAATTCTCTCATTGTTTATCCACTGATGCGATCTTATTGAACACCATACAGGAATTGGAGGGCATTAGTTTGGAATATATTAGAAAGAAAACTGGTGGAACGCCAGTATGGAGTGTTGGACTAGCTTCCTTCTCTGTGATGGAGGACAGGACACCAACAATGCAATGCCGACTAGTACACTGAATGGCTCAATCTCCATCCCCCTACTTCAGTTCTTCATGTGTTTTTTTTGATGAGTAATGTTATTCATCCCCACTGGGATTACAAATACAGTTTAGGTGGCATTAATGTGACATTAAATGATATGTGAAATTAAATAAGTCATTTAATTTCATCTTTCATTTAACCTATTATTTAGAGCCATCTAGACTGTGTTTGTAATCCCATTGTCGATGAATAACATTACTCTTTTTTGATCGATTTGCAGTATCCCGACTTCCCAGATAAAAGAACTGGCTCTGGAGCTGGAAACCAGTGGCAAAGCATTTATCCGGGTTGCTAGACCACCAACTGGTTTTAGCCTGACAAAAGAATTCAGAACTGAATGGGTGTTGATGGTTTTGAGGAACTGATGAAGAAACAGAATCAAGGATTACTGATACACAAATTGGCTCCACAAAACCATATTTTATCACAAGAATCCATCGGTGCTTTCCTCAGCCACTGCGGTTGGAATTCCTTACCTGAAAGTATGTGTCGAAGCATACCAATAATTGGATGACCAATGAGTGGAGAACAATTTCTCAACTCCCATATGCTGGAAAAAAAGAGGTGTCTGTCTAGAGTTGAGAGATGGGAAAAAAATCGAGGTTACCGGGCATGAACTTATCTCAGAAGTGATAAGGACAGTAATTGGAATGACTGGAAAAGGTGTGGGAATAAGAAGAGAGGCCCCCAAATACTGAAAGAGAAGCTGGAAAATGCAATCCATGAAGGTGAAGACTTAAAGGGTTCATCTACCAAACCTGTGGATGAATTTCTTGGTGAACTAGAAATAGCTAGTTCATTCAAATGCTGATCAATATTATCAAACACCCCCTGAGACAGTTGGAAGGTACACGAAGCACAAATTGTAGAAATATGCAACGTGTTTGAGTAATTCAAACAGAAGAGTTGAGAGAAAATACTGCCAAGGATTGCAACATATTTTCAAACATTATAAACTATTGAAGAAAACCCAAAAATACTGCTTATCTTATGCTTTGATTATTCAAAACATAAGCAAGAAATGAAGTTTGGTCACTTTTGCAATAATGCATATTGTTGCCATCCAAACTCAAAATGAACACGTGTACCGAGCTGAACTCCCATGTCAGATTTAAACAAGCCCACTTAAGCTGGATCAGAGATCTTCAGTGGCATAAATCTGAAGATTCTGAACTACCTAGATCGGATAAGACCGAACTAAAGAACTGAGATTGGACATGCTTAATGAAGAGCCTAATAAAAGTAATCAAGTTAAGCTAAAGGAGACCATTATCAACAGAGTGACTTGCCCCCCATGACAGTTGCTTCACCCTAACCCACCGATAGGAGCGTTGATTAGATAGACTAGACTATGGGCCATCATCATGCCACCGCAGACTATCAACCGATCATAACCTGCCGGAGCCACCACCGCACTCTTCCCAAGCAGAAAACGTTGTAACTTGACAATACTAGGGCAGTTCCTCTAGCCACGTTTACCTATGAAAAGGTTTCATTTACCACCAATGGGACACGAACTCTCAAAAAGAAAGCACGCTTAGTTCGCACTCACTTTAACTCCCGACTCTAGGCAAATTCTTTAAAGCAAGTTACCACTTTATAATTCGTGTAAAGTTGATTAGAGAAGTGTTTCCTCATTTTTCTACGTCAACACATCATTTGAAATCACGTGCATTCCTAAAAAATTCATTTTATACTTCTCTTTGATAGTCACCAGTTGGAATTTCTCTTTCTGTAAGTGGCTGTTTACATCAATAAGAACATTATCTGATTACTGATTTAAAAACTCATAATATTTAAGATCATGAAGTGAAACACCTCTCACCTATGAGAAAAATGGTTTAACAAGTCTTACCAGCAGCCTAACTGCATCTATGTGATATTTTAGTAAGACTTGACCTCCCACAAAACCTTAGCTCCAATTATTATAACTTTCTTACAGAGCACAAATATTACGAACAAGTGGAATATACCCGGCTAAAACTGTGTACCTTCTTAATATTATTTTTGTTGATCAGCATTCTGACTTTGTTTGCATCATCCCATCTCCCAGATTCAGCATACATATTATAATACAACAAGACATATGGGCGCCCTGGCTTTCTGGTTTCAATGTCATTAATGCTTCCGCTGTAACTCTAGCCAAATCCACATTGCTGTGCACTTCTCAAGTGCCAACAAAGCTCCCCACATAGCGTTGTCTGGCTCAATTGGCATGCCATGAATAACATCCATGGCCTCCTCAACCAGTCCAAACGGACTGACAATATCCACAAGGGAGGCTAAATGTTCAACTCTTGGTTCAACACAAAAATCACTAATCGTGGATCCAAAACGTGACCTGCCCTTGTTCCACTAGACCAGCATGAGCACATGCACTGAGAACTGATATGAATGTGATATAACTTGGTCTCGCTCCAATTTGCTTCATTGACTCAAAAAAGTTACAGGGCCTCCTCCGCAAACCTATGAGCTCCTATCATAGCGTTTCAAGAGATCATCCTTCTGAAATTTCATCTCATCAAAGACAATATTTGTTCAATTATTGCCCCCAAATCTTGCATACATGGTAATTAGAGAATTATTTAATGGTATGTTTGGTATCACAACCTTCGTGAGAAATTGATGAATTTGCATCCCTAGTTGCCAATTTGCAGTTTCATCAAGCACGTCATTTTGAACCAAAACAAGGAAAAGGCACGAAGAGAAGCTGCATCTCGTTTTGGCATCCTCTTAAAACTCTATAGCTTCCTTCACATCTGACATCTCCATTGTGAAAGAACCCCAGTAATTGTGTTTCAAGCGATCACATTCCTATCCGGCACACCATCAAAAAGCCTCAAGGCTTCATCCATCCTAGTCATCCTACCATTCTTTGTAACCACTAATCATAGTATTCCAAGAAACAAAATCCACCGGGCAGTTTATCAAACAAGTACCTACCTTCTTCTACATGCCTCCATCAACGGCACGACACATACCCTGACAGCATCATATTCCACGACATCACATCCCTTTCAAACATTTCATCAAATAGTTTCCGTGCCTTAACAATTTCTCGACTTTGGACAAACCCACTCAACATTGAGTTCCATGTTACAGTGTTTCTCAGTGATTATTCATCAAAATGTTCTTGCATCTTCTGGTCGACCACTGCGGTTTAACTGTGTAATCTTCTTATTAAAATGTACCTAGTTCCGGAGTGTCTGCATGGGTTTCGATGTCGAGAAAAATCAGTTTTCATAAACAAACTGCGCACTAGTCTGGAGCTGAAATTGAATAAGGCCAGTGAAGCACTGCATTCAAAGTTCGCACACGCCAAACAGAGTGGCATAACAAGAACAACGTACTTATAGAATTGTAGCAACCAACGAAACAGAGTAAATTCATGAACAATCTGATTCCAAGAATTCAAAGTTCAATTGCAATATATAAAGTGTTAAGACTGAGGATTGTAGGGCTTTTCCCTGTTAAGGGAGCCCTTTCCAGAAATTCTCGACGGCCAGGGGCGAACCCAGGCCGAAGAGGGGGTTTGGAAATAGTTTTCAACCAGCAATAGACGTATTATTAGTTTTATCAATTAGAACTTTGTTTTTATTAACGTAATTCGTTTTTCTATTCGTGAAGTTTTGAGTTACTTTTACTTCATGGGCGCACTCAACAAAGAAAAGTGAATTATGTCACAATTTTCAAAAATACATGAATTGGATTTCTAGTACTTGTTAATAAGCTATTAAGATTAATTGACATTTTAACAAATCTAAACCTTAGTTCTTGTTTATTACGGACTGTTTTGATATGTGATACGATTGAATGAAACACAGTTACACAGATTTTAGCTGTTTTTTTTTTTTCCCTTAAAAACATAGTTGCACTGATTTGAAATAATAGTTCTCATGAACAAATTTTGAGTAAAGAATTGCAGGGCTTTACCAGTAAAGGAAGCCCTTCCAGAAATTCTCGACGGCCAAGGACGAACCCAGGCCGAGGAGGGGGTTTGGAAATAGTTTTCAACCAGCAATAGACGCGCCTCGGTTAGAACCTCACTAGCTGCGTCATTGCCCCAAGCGCAAAGATGAATTGGGCTGTGACTCCACGTGCAGTTTTATTGCTAACTCTAACCTCTTCAGTTTATGTATCCACCGGTGTGGGACAATTCACTTCTTTGATTATGCCTTCAAAGTGATTATTGCAGTATCAGTAGAATATACATCATACTAGTTTAATTTAGCCCTAGTTTGAGTCCTTTTTTTTCTCGAAACTCGTTTATTCAATACTAACTTTCAATCACACAATTCCTCACGAAACACAGTCCACGAGTAATTGTAACACTATTATTCTTTACTGTTTGTGTATATTTCACAACTTATACGTAAACTTGTATGCATTGGAGGCAATTAAGAAACGGAATTACTTTATTCTTATTGGAATACATTTTTAGCATAAATAGTATCCGACTTCAATTCATATTTCACGATCTTACTGATAGACTTCAATTACAAATTAAATAAAATATTTTTCTCGTCAACTACAACCTCCACGATTGTCAATTTTCTAGCGTTTGATGGGATATCCTCTTTGCACTTTTTTAGAATGTCTATAGACTCTTCTTCTTCGTCGTTCCAAACATATAAAACTGGTTGAAATTTTGTCTCTAAATGAAAAAAAATAAAAAAATAAAAAATCGTCCACGAACCCAAATGATCCGAGCCGACTAATTTTTTTTCAAAAAAAAAAAAAGACCTGGCCAACAAGCCCAAACGAGCAAGCTTGTGAACTCGTGCCCATACGCTCAAACAAGCCAAAATGTGAATTCAGCTCGATCAATGATTTGTATCAAAATGAGTTCGAATTGTCCATGAAATTAGTCGAGCCCTCGAATGGGTCAACCCATTTACGACCCTATTGGCACTGTTATCCTATACGTGCAAGCCATGTTCGGCCAAACGGCCCCAAGTTAGTTTGGGCTTAATGTACATGGCACCCGGCCCATGTTCTTTCTTATACCCGAATTATTACTTCCCCTTCCCTTTTACCTGGATATGGTTAGTCGGTGACGGTTCATTTCATTTTGTGTACATAAAAATCTGATAAACAGTTTTCGAAAGCAAATTCAATCGATACAGAAAACAGCTTGTAAAGATGCCGAAAAAGATGGGAATTAACAGCAAAGCGGAGGAAGCTAGGGCTCGGAGGACCGCCTCTGAAGCCGAGCGTAAGGATCGCGAAAGCCGAGAGAAGGAAGATCAGTACTGGCGCGAAGCCGAAGGGGCTAAGTCACGCGCCGCCAAGAAGCGCGAGGAGGAGGCTGATAAGAAAGCTGAGATTGCTGCTAAAAAGGCCGAGGCGCGTCGCTTGGCTGAACAGGAACAGAAGGAGCTCGAGAAGAGCATGAAAAAGGCTGATAAAAAGGCGAACCGAGTGTCAATCCCCGTGCCGAAGGTGACGGAGGCGGAGCTGCAACGGCGGAGGGAGCAGGATCAGGCGGCTATGCAGAAGCGGATCGAGGAGGAGAAGCGTAAGCAGAGCCGGACCGCTGCCGAGGAAGAGTATGAAAGGATGGTGCTTGTTGAGAACACAAATCGCGATGACTCAATTATCGAGGCCAGGACGGTGGAAGATGCGATTGCACAGATGGCAGTTACGGATAATTTGCCTCCTGATAGGCACCCGGAGAGGCGGCTCAAGGCTTCTTTTAAGGTACAATTCCATTATTCAATTCTCTGTTTTTTGATCAGTATTATTTTCAAATAGATTATTTGGTGTTTTCATTATATTATTTAAGAAGAATACACGTGTTTTTAAAGATTGAGTTTCTTAATTGACGGATATTGTGAAAGACTTTGTAGAGCTCTTTAATTTTAATCTACTGAGAATTCTGCTAAGAGAAGAATATTCTTGTGTGTCGTGACAGTAGGAATGTGATGAGCTTCATCTGTTCCTCTGAAAATTGCTCTTACTGGAAAAGAAGGGAAGCTTTGTTCTTTATATTTTTACCTTGCTGTTACCAGGATCTTCATCTTCTTCGTTATCTATTTTTCCCCCCTCAATGAATGATGGTGTTTGGAAAAAGGAAAAATAAGAAAGTGGAAAGCAATTAAGCAAGAATTTGTCTAGAGCATAGGAAAGGTGATTAATCTGAAATGATCTTGTAGCTATCTTGCAGGATGTATAGTTCCTGCTTTGTCATGCTTAGCTGTAACTGCTAATTTGACAATGCAACATATCACCTCCCATTTTGGCCTAAATTTCTTATTTTTCCATGCATTTGTAGTTCTGAAAGTTTTCCTTCTTTGAGGTACTATTGGTCTTTTTATTTTAAATATGTCTTTTGACATTTTGCTCAATTTTTAACATGTTGAGTGTCTCCTTCACATGTTGCATGTACACATAGTTTGCCTTTTTGCTCTTCAAGTGAACTTGTGCAACGATGCTTGAAGTTTTTTGCTTAATGGATATGCTTGTAGGCTTTTGAAGAAGCTGAGCTTCCAAGTTTGAAGGAAGAGAAGCCAGGTCTTACACACACACAATACAAAGATTTGATTTGGAAGCTGTGGAAGAAATCTCCTGACAACCCACTTAACCAGGTAAAGCTAGTTCTGTTTAATGTGATAATGACTCTCTCGTGCATGGTTTAGTTCCACAACTACGGCGTTTACATTTCATTGGAAGTAGACTCGTTGGCAGTCTGGTTTAAGCAAAGAAAGCTAGTTTGACTTGAAAGCCAGGTGGATTTTGATTTTCAACTGAACCTAGATAAGAAATGTAATATCAGGGGGCTATTTAATTCTTCAACTGTTACTCCAAAATCCAAATACAATGAAAAGATAAACACATATGGAGTTTTGTAGATGAACAGCTTGGGCCGCATAATACGTATTTTATGCCAGTTGGTGGATTCAGTCATGGCTCTTTATCATATAACAAAAGCAGAAATGAGCAATAAAGTACTCGGTAAAAGACAGATAACAATTTCAGTTGTATTCGTATTTGGAAACACTAAGATTACTCCTTTAGGTTATATGATCGCAAATACTTGATACTTCTGATGTCAAGGGTATGTATTTTGGTTATTGTATTTCGATTCGTTACCAAAGTTGCAATTTGGCTATTGATCTTTGTGTAGTGTTCACGTTGAATTATAATGGATGGCAGCTGGAGCTCGGTCTATGACCGGGTGTACTGTGTACGAATTTTTTCAAGGGTCTTAGATCTCTTGTTTGATTGTTGGATTGCAGTAGAATTAGGCGCAAATTAAAGCTGCTACTTGTGGTCCTCAAGATTATGAAATGCATAATGGTGTTCCTATCTTCTTGTCTGTTCCAACACCAAATCTCCTCACCATTCTCGTCAGAGGCACAATAGATTGCGACCAATGCGGTTGCTTGTGTGTTATTTTCCTTACCAAACTTCAGTTCTATAATCTTGTTTTGCTGTGGGTGATTTTTTAGTGGATTTTGGTGACTGGGTGTCGATGATATTATGGTGCACTTGTGTTTCTTCATGATAATCGTAAAAGGTCTTTTAGATGCATTGTGAAATGGAAGGTTTATATATTAATAAATCATTCATTAATGTAATGTTCTTTTGTTTCTTTTGAATATCCTAATGCAATTTAGACATGATTATGATGTCACGATTTAATGTTCTACTTTATTTCTTCCCTTCTCTGCTCCCATCCTGTTAAAAAATACAGGAAGAAAAAATGTGAACTGATTGGTTCATTACTGAATACTGGCAATTCTTGAGCCATTCTGCTATGGTTCATTACTAATTTGGAAGCCCTAGAGGCAAGATTTCAAATTCTTCATAAAAGCCATTCCAATATATGAAGCATCTGGTAACATATGCGGGCAATGATTGGCGAAGAAAATAAGTAGATTTTCCATTTTATGTGAGCTTTTGATTTAACTGTTATGAATTTTTTTTCTATCCGACATGTCATGTTGCTGCATTACTTCATATGTTCTTGTAATGATGCAAGTATAATGGTTGACATAGCAAGTTAATAGAGATGATTTTTTTGTTTTTGCTCTACCATTCTTCTAGATAGTTTTTCTGAGGGTGAGGGCTGTGGTTGGCTGGATACGAAATAATATCCATCTGTTGGAATCCTTACATTGCTGAATCTGTTTTTCTTGTTCTGAAGTTGAACTTAGATGGTCTCTCTTTGCAGTCGGGGGTATATTTTCTTTCTTATTGCGTGTGTACAGTGCAGAAATCTTCATCCTGAGATAATTGGGAAGTAATTTGATCTTTCTGTGGAGATATAAAGAAGTTTCTCTCATATAGATAGAGGTTTTTGTTGGTTGTGTTGTTTAAGCAGGTAGAGCTTGTATCCCTTTGTAAAACGTATTAATTGCAGTTATAAATCTTTCGCGTGATTAGTTCATGTTTGTTTTCTGATCATTTCAATCATATTGTGGAATATTCTTATTCATAATATCATCTAAAGGTAGCTTGGTAACCAACTTAATTTTAATTTGAATATGCAGGTTGCTGATAAGTCGTGAGTGCATCCTTGCTTTTAAGAAGTCTGGCAATCTTTCTTTGGGATTAGTGTAAAGCGATCTGCAGTTCTGTATATCCCTGATGATTTCACCTAATAGCTGTGGCTAGTCTTCAAACATCAATGCTCACTGTCCATTTCGACCTTATGCAGTCTATTTGAAGTAATACTTTTCTTTGTCTCAAACCATTCTGAATAAGATCCTTGTATTTTCCTGATATGCTGTTAACTATACGTGTACTGAGATTAGAAATGGTGGTTCCTGTTCTACGTTAGACAGTATTTGATTAATCTTGTGCACTAAATCGTTTTTGCAAATTTCGTAGAAAAAATGAATTTGTGCCATAAATCGCCCCTGCATCCTACCATTTCTTAGAAAGACGATCATTTGTGCAGAGATAATCTTCCATGACCACCTCTTCATCATTGTCTTCAATGACTAATAGGCTAAGTGGCCTTCGTGACTTGTATGATACCATTGATGATTGGATTTTATTGCCTTGCATTCAACGAATCATTTCAGAAGAATGCCGAGAGAGAGAGAGAGAGAGTTTAATGAAATCTTGTTCTGATTTATCGAAGCTATGCAAAAGCAAATTGTACAGTAGCTTCTATCTGTTCTCAGTAGGAGAAAAGCTGAGGAAGATAACCCATAAGTTCCTAAGGACTTGTGTCAAAAACAAACACAATGTTCAGACCTTAGAGAAGGAACACGAAACAATGTATACATGAAGCAGAATCAGAAACTCTCGTCGTGTGATTCTCTGTTGTCCTACATTACAGGGACTAAGGTGCAAAAGTATACAGCGTATGGTATTTTGTATCCAAGTGGATGCACGCAAAGAGATTTTCATGTGAACGCAAAGAAAGAGAATCAAATGAATTAACGAGGTTGGTGCAGATTTACATTCACTCTTCTCCGATAAAGATTGCAATTGATGTCAAGTGAATCGACTTACGAATCACTTGAATCATTTGAAACCGATGTACTCAAACCATTAATATTTTCAAGAACTAGAATGTTTGCTCAGATGTTTGGTTTGACAAACTTAATTATTTAAATCTCAACTTATTAAACCATGAGAAGCCGAATTATCACCAAACCACCATAAGGTGATAGCTCGTAGAAGATTCGACGTTACAAAGCTAAACCTTGTTGAGAAGAGTGAAATACTGGTTTCAATTTTTTCTAAGTTGCATTGTAGAAGAATGATAACAAGATATAAAAAGTTCGAAAAATAAAAATTAAACAATTCTAAATATCAACTGGTCTTTGATTGATTGGTGGCTGTGCAATATCGACATACCCACAAACAGTCTAACACTGGCTAAAGATTCAAAAACATTGAAAAAGGAAGACTACAAATTAGTCAAGTGATGCATGCATGCTGGTATATACTGAATAAAGCTGATACCATGCCCACTAATTTGTTGTATTCCTTTTGTTCCTTCTACAGCCTCTGACAATAAAATACTAACATATTCAAAGTCAGAGCGCACATACACATTCTACTTTATATTCACTTCCAAAAAATACAAGGAGAAACTACTATAATCTAATCCCATCTGGGCCCCCCTTGTCCAAGTGGTACATACCATTATGGAATAGGTCAGTAATTAGTAAATCACACCCAAAAGTTGAGACTGTGCCATTCTTCATAGAGCAACTCCTATTTCAGTCTGCTGCTGCTGCAAGGGCTTTAAAGCCCACTTGATTTGGTGGCGGTGGAGATGGTGCTGGTGCTGATGGCTGCTCCCACTTTAAATTGACAACCACTTCATCTTGCACTGCCACGTACTCCTATATTGAGTAAAGTAATACAGAAGTCAGTACTATTCATTACCCACAAAAAGGTTTGTTTATTGCATCCAGATGGTGAAGTCTGAAGATTATTTCTTTTAAGATTATGATCTTGCCTTTGCTATTTTTGTGAAAAAAACTCTTCAAAGGAAAGATGAATAAATATACCTCCAGTTTCTGAACGAGCTCTTTCGCATTGGGGGCAGAGACAAAGATGTGACGCTGAGAAGGCTTTATGAACCCATCATCCACTGCTTTGTCAATGAAGTTGAGGAGGTAGTTGTAGTACCCATCAACATTCAGTAAACCCACCTGCAAATATATATGAATCCTATAAGATTTAACTCAAAATCATCTCTACTTTTCAACAAGAAAAAAAGGGTTCGAGTTTTACAGGCTTGTCATGGATGCCCAGCTGTGCCCATGTTATAACCTCCAGCAACTCCTCTAGAGTACCATATCCACCTGTTAAAAACCCATAAAACCAAGATAAATAATCAAACCCCTTTAACCTTAAGAACTGTAAAAGCTGAAAAATGTATTCACGCAAGCATTTAAACCTGGCAATGCTATGAAACAATCAGAATGGCTAGCCATTTCAGCCTTCCTTTGGTGCATATTAGCCACCATTCTCACCTCCCCAATAGTCTCCCCAGTTTTCTGCAAAAATCAACACACTGGTAAAAATGAAATTTTTACAAACTTACGGTCAGTATTTTCAAACTCATATGGTACCTCTTTTCCCACAAGCGGTCTTGGTATGATTCTGTGATGAAATAAGTAAAACCAGTTTCAGAAAATAAAAGGATAGATGCAAATAAAGGATGTTCATGTAATAATAAGTTGCTAAAACTGATAGAGATACCCAAGAACGTGTCCTCCTCCATTATTAACGGCTTGAGAAACTAAGCCCATTAATCCTATACTTCCTCCCCCATAAACTAGATCCAGCTTTCTTGCCACCTTCATGCAAAAACATAGAAATTACCTCAAAATACTGAAGAACTATCAGAAATTTTACGAGTACTGAAAGAAAATGCAGTGCAAGAATCAAGAATGGTAAAGTTCCCGGTACCAGTTCTTCCCCCAGCTGAATCGCTGCCTCTTTATAGCACTCTCTCTTACCAGAACTACTCCCGCAGAAAACACAAACCCGGTTGAATTTTGATTTCACAAAGTTTCCTTCCATTTTCTATGGTTTGAAGCAGTACTTTTCTGTTTGTGTTTCTGAGTAGAAACAAGAAAGGCTCAAGGATAAGAAATTGCACATATGTTGTAACACCTAAACTCTGCAACGATATATAGAGTCCTGGAAATAATAATAAAAACAAAAAAGCGATTCCTTAAAAATAAAAAATAAAAATAAACATTCTTTCTGGGTTCAATAAAATTGAATGATCGATCCATCAAATGAGGACAAATTAAATTAATGAAAGATGGCTGCTTTTGTATGTGGTGAGAGGTATGACTTGGGCGTCGTGCTTTCAAACCCGGTGCGTCCACGTGTCACTGCATGAATTACAAATTCTATTTTTTTTCTTTTATTATAATTTATCAAACATGGGATTTTAATTATTGACGATAATTATTTTTCTAGTGATATTCTAGCATATTTGTTTGGCTCATTTTAGAAACTAGTGAGAGCTGACTATGCATTGCACGTTATTTTTGTTGGAAAATTAGTTTTTATTAGTTGGTTTGACCAATTATTTTAGTGGGTCACGTTAGTTGGACAAAATATTTCTTTGGCCGAGTGTGTTCTACTTCATGAGTAAATTAATGTTTTGTATTTATTTTTTCGAAACCAATTTAGGGTGAATGAGAAATTAAGTTCAAAGAATGATCACTTGAAGTTGAAATAAATTGGAATAATAATTGGTGGAAATTGAAAAAGTGTCAATCCCACACAGGAAAGTTAGAAAAATATAAACAATTTTATATTGCTCAAATTTGGGACTTGGATTTGGACCCCAGGGGTACCAATAGTTTTTAAAGGGGAGAGAACTTACATGCTAGTAGGTTGGGCCAAAACCCACACAAGTGCTGTCGCCGCCGACAAAGGGACGGGTCAAGGGATTGAGCTTGGATTTGGATTTGGGCCAAACTGATATATATTTTTTAGTAAAATAATATTTGATTTATATTATTTTATTATTATTTAAAATAATAATATATTATTTTCTCCCGAATTTTCTATGTGTGACACGTGGATTCTTTTAGAAGGACGGTTGGTGTTTGAGCTTGTCCAAACAGTTTGTGTCTGTTAAAGACACAACTTTTCGGCTGTTGTGTCTCTTGGACGCAACCTTTCAACATTTATAAATTGGCCTCCATACCCCGATTTTCTTTCACTTCAAAATCAATTCTGATTTATTCTTCTTCCGAAATTATTCCTTCGTCCCTACATTATTCATATTTTGCAATACATCCTCGAAAATAATTTTCGTGCATTCTAGTCCTTGAATTTTTTAGAGATCAAAACGTGAGTAGGTTCTCCGGGTCTTGTAATTTGTAGTGCTACTATTACAAGTCGAGATCGTTGTATCTTGAAAGACGAGTACCAGAATACCGTCGCACCAGTGCGGGGCATTATCATCTTAAGGAGAAAGAGTCAAACCATTGCCTCGACCATTAACATTTTATATCATTCACTTTTTCACGACGTTATTCTGTCCAAGTCAATTCACGGTGATATAATTACTTGCCAACTTCCAATAATTTTAAGACAATAATGGCAAGTAATACCCTATTTGTCGTACCCCCTAATAATGCTCATGATGAGAGATCGAAAATATTCACAGGAGCGGAGTTTAAAAGATGGCAACACAAAATGTTGTTTTATCTCACGACTCTAAATTTGACAAAATTCTTGAGTGAAGATGCTCCAATTGTTGAGGATGATGAAACAGATTTTCAAAAACGAGTAGCATTCGATGTATGAAATCATAGTAATTTCTTGTGTAGGAACTAAATCCTCAGTTGCCTTGACAACAAGCTATACAACCATATACTGTTCGGTCAAGATAACTAAATTACCGTGGGAATCATTAGAAAAGAAGTACAAAACGGAATACGCCGGATTGAAGAAATTCGTTGTAGGTAAATTCCTGGACTTCAAAATTGTATATTCTAAAACAGTAATGAATCAAATCCAAAAACTACAAATCATCTTGCACAATATACATACAGAAGGTATGAAACTCAGTGAGTCATTTCAGGTTGTTGTGATTATCGAAAAATTACCGCCAATGTTGAAAGATTGCAAGAACTACTTGAAACATAAAAGTGAGGAAATTGGACTTGAAGATCTGATTGTACGATTAAGAATTGAGGAAGATAATCGCAATTCTGAAAAGAAATCTGGAATGCTGCAAATGGAGACTAAAGTCAATTTGGTAGAGCCAAATACTAGCAAGAGAAGGAAGCACATCTAAACTAATGCTCTCAGCTGTTGTATTTGAAGCAAACATGGTGGACAATCCGAGAGAATGGTTCGTTGATACTGGCGCTACTCATCACCTTTGTGCTAATGAGGAGATGTTTTCATCTTACACTCCTATCAATGGACGAAAACTATTCATGGGCAACTCAGCAACATCAAAAGTTGTTGGTCTAGGTAAAGTAGTGCTGAAGATGACGTCAGGAAAATAAGTAACACTCATCGATGTGCTGCATGTTCCCGATATTCACAAAAATTTGGTATCTGGAGCTTTATTAAGCAAGAGTGGGTTTAGGTTAGTATTTGAATCTGACGAGTTTGTACTCACCAAAAATGCCATGTTCGTAGGCAAATGGTACTTAGCCAATGGGCTATTCAAAATAAATGTAATGCCTGTATTCCATGATTTTGATATTAATAAAAATAAATCTTTCGCTTACTTAATTGGGTTTTCTAACTTATGGTATGATAGATTAGGACATGTAAATATTAATACTTTACGTAAATTAATAAGTTTAAATTTATTGACTCTTATTTCATTTGATCAAAATCATCTGTACAAAACATGTGTATAAGCTAAATTAGCTAAAACACTGTTTCATTCAGTTGAAAGGAACTCGAATCCTCTAGAATTAATTCACAGTGAGATTTGTGATTTAAGTTTGTGCAAACTAGATGAGGTAAAAAGTATTTTATTACATGTATAAATGATTGCACAAGGTACTATTATGTCTATTTGCTAAGGAACAAAAACGAGGCCTTAGAAGCATTTAAACAGTACAAGAATGATGTCAAAAATCAACTAAACAAACGAATAAAAATTGTTCATAGTGATAGAGTTGGGGAATATAGAGCACAGTTTGAAAAATTTTGTTCAGATTATGGGATTATTCATCAAACTATAACTCCTTGTTCACCTCAATCAAACGGTATTACGGAACGCAAAAATCGTACTCTAAAAGAAATGATGAACGCTATGTTGATTAGTTCTAGTATACATCAAAATTTGTGGGGGAAGCAATTCTTTTAGCTAGCCACATTCTAAATAAGTTTATGAACAAAAGTAGGTATTTTTCACCTTACTCGAACGGTAATGTAGAACGCAAAATTCGTACTCTAAAAGAATTGATGAACGCTATGTTGATTAGTTCTGGTTTACCTCAAAATTTATGGGATAGCAATTCTTTCAGCTAACAACATTCTAAATAAATTACTACACAAAAGTAGGTATGAAACTCCTTATAAATTATGGAAATGTCGTAAACCTTTGTACAAATACTTAAAAGTGTGAAAGTGTTTAGATAAGGTAGAAATACCAAAGCCTAAACAAGTTAAAATAGGACATAAGATCATCAATTGCATATTCATTGGATATGCTAATAACAGTAGTGCTTATCGATTCCTCGTACATAAGTCTAACATTCCGGATGTACATGAATATACTATCATTAAATCTAGAAATGTTGTATTTTTTGAGGACAAGTTTCCTTGTAAGGATAGGAAAGAGGTAAGTTCTCAAAAACGAACTTATGACACTACAAATGGTAATCATCAAAGTGATGAAGAACCAAAATGTAGCAAAATGACTAAATCATCTACATTTTTTGGTCCAGATTTTTTAACTTATTTGTTAGAAAATGAACCTAGAAAATTCAATGAGACAATGTCTGGTCTAGAAGCTCTATTCTGGAAAGAGGCTATCAATAGTGAAATTGAATCTATTATGCAAAATCATACCTGGGAGTAGGTAGATCTCCCACTCGATAACAAACCATTATGTTGTAAATGGATTTTTAAAAGAAAATTAAAGATTGATGGATC